CTTGCTTTGTTGATGAAGAACAAACAATTGCCACCTGGCAATAATAAACCTAATTATTTTCGTAATAGGGATCAATTACGTCAATTTTTTGAAGACGAGAAACGAAGGTTACAGGAACAATTTTACAACGATACTTTAAGAAGTTATTTGGACAAAAATTCGGATGATGTTTCCTCGCGTATGATGCCTAGGTCAAGTAACATTGATTCCAATGGTGCCGCGTAAATTTAATGAAAAATTTACTAGGTGAGAAATCAAATTAGTCGATTCCCGTAATTGCGATGTCATATTTATTACGACAACGACTATTGCAACGGCTTGTACTCGTGTACAAATAATATTCCTAGAATTAAGTAGTTAAAATATGTTATCTGTACAACGAAACAGTTAATATCTTTTTTTATAAATTATTATAACATAAAATGGATTCAGGGAATAATCAAAATTAAACATCGATTGGGTTTTTTTTCTATTTTTCTAGCTACACACACACAGTTCATTCTTTAAGTATAGGAATATTCGTATTATATTAAAAAAAAAAACGATAATATCGTTATTGTAAATATTAATGTAAGACAAGTAAAAAATATTAAACTTCCCATAATTTATATAAAAAAAAATATTGTTAACTGTTTGAGTGTGTATGTGTTAGTGTGTGTTATCAAATCATTTTCCTATACGCCGTTCCGCTTTGAAAGAAAACTAATTTTCTGGTTCGTATTTGTGAGATTTTCTTAATCGCAAAATATGTTTCGTAATAGTTAAAAATTAATGTCAATTTCCCAATGTATAATCATATTCAAGAAATTTATTTAGCGACATTTTTCTATTTGTAAACAACATATTTGCATATATCAATTGGATTGCACGCAAGACTCGTGCTGATGGATATTTTTAATACAAATAAAATAATTCATAAAATCGGCTAAAACTTTCTGAGCAACCTAAATTATAATACCTATACATGCATGAACAAACTATACCATTACAAATAATATACGCAATCATGAAGAAGTTAATGATGAGCCTTGGATAGTTGAAATATTAAAGGAGTCGTCCATAAAACAGAAAATTCAGATTCCAGTCCCGATAATCATGACAATCTCATGGTACAATTTTTATCAGAACTTCTGTGTACATGAAAATTTTATGAACCTAACATAAATATTTTTCTCATAAGGCGTAGAGTTAACGGATGACCAAATAAATGTATATCAGTAAAATGAATGTTACTTTTGAATATATATATATATATATATATAAAATTAAGTTGTCTAGAAAATCAATTCTGAATAACAGTTACATCGAAATAATAATATAATATATAGAAAATAAGAAATTTATAATGATTTATTTCCTTCTTAGGAACATTTTCCGATTTGATGTACGTTATATGAAGGTAATAAAATTATTAAAGCGTGTCCCATTTGACGTGCATCGAGGCATTAAATCCGCTTCCTGCGGCAGTGAAGGAACTATAATGTAATGTCTATGATTTATTACTTCCCTACGATGCTGTAGGAAATGTATTGGATGAGGGTGAAGGTGAAAAAGAAATTAAAGAAAAATATATTTGAAGTATTAATTATATATATTGATAAAAGAATAATCTTGTTATAAACATTTCTTTCTCACAATACTTCTCCAGTATTGACTAAATAAAAATACAAACCAAAAAAATGTAATACGAAAAAGTTGATCAGGGAGAGTAAAAGATAAGACAGTACAATAAAATCGAGCCGTTCAATTGGCGTCATGGACCAGAGAAGAAGAAAGAAGAAATTTACTTCGCTTTTTTTTTTTATCGACACTTTTTGTTTAATTTAGAAATGGAGTAACCCATTCTGTTTCTTCGCATCACTAATCACAGAATATAAAAGAGGAATGAATGCCGCTCGTTGCCAGTTAAGATCGATCATTGGTATCAACTTGTACCTGTTAACAAATACCATGTTGGTAGGTTAATGCAAATATTTATTTTTTAACTTAAACCATTTCTACATAAAAAAAAAAGATAAATATTTAAAGTTAAATAATTTGAAATAAATTTTGCAGATTCTTTACATAATTGTTTCAATAGTTACAATAACTAAAGCGTTAAATGTACCAAATTCGTCCGAAGAATCAGAAGATTTTAAATCATCTAAATATGTACCATCATCTTTAGATGCTAATCAAAAATCATTTAACAGCGAAGAAAGTACCAAATCGGTAACATCTAATAATTACAATCCTGGGCCACATTCACAATATAATCAACGAATACCAATTAATCAGAATCCAGCTACAGGTGGGTCTTTCTTATCATCTTATCAAGCAAACCAACCCTATGCAAACCTGGGACAATTTTCAACACCATACTTTGGGCAAACATTCATTAATTCCGAATTAATGAAACCGACGATACAGTATAGAACTATAATGCAACCTAAAATCCATAAATTACAAGAATCAAGTACAAATTTGAACGAGGATAATCAAAAGAAAATTGTAGAAGATATGTTTGGTATGCATTACGAGAATCCATTTTTAATAAATCAAAAGTTAAGTTCATCATCGGACATTTCAATTCAAAAAGAAGTTCCTGCCAACAAAGTTCAATTACCGATATACAGGACTCAATATCCAGGACCTAAAAATTCAGAATACATTTTTACTTATCCGACAAATCATCAAAGTGAATCTACTCAAAAATTATCGCAATATTATCCGCAAAAGGAAACAACTGATATGAAAAAAATAACATTGCCCGTGGTACGAGTTACGAATTCTGAAAATTTACCAGATTACCTGAGAACATTCGAAACCCAGCCAATGCTTTTAAACCACAACCTTAATTACCAACAACCTAACTTAAATTTCGGTATCATCGATGTAAAAGATAAATCGATAGGGCAAGGAAACAATATATCACCTTTCCAATCGTCCATTTCAAGCTTTCAGGGCCAAGTGATTCCTATTCAGACGGCTAGCAGTACTCCAGAGTTTCCACAATACAAAGGAGCTACTGTATCACACTATCCAGGTTCCCTCGATCTTGCAAAGATACCACGTACCTATGAACCTCTTCGTACACAACCACAATTACATTTCCAAAACGTGCAACCTTCTCGTATTATTAATCCTTATCAAAAGGTGAATCTGAATACCAAACCAGGTGGTGAGATACTCGAGGATGTTGATATAATTACAACTAATCCACCACCACCTTTAAAAAATGAGGATGAAGATGATTTCGAAGATGAAAGTACGTATTAATATATTGTATTATTTTATATTTATATATTTATGTTGTTAATATATTATTGTAGGATACAAAAGTGTTGAAACTGAATATGGTCATAATTCAAACGACGAGGAAGAATATTCGGCAAAACCATCGAAGGAATCATCCTCGGAAAGTGATTTTGTTCCTTCGAAATCATTTCCATTTAAAGAATACGACGAGAAATTTGGAAAATATTCAAAGGTAAATAATAAAGATGAAGATGATGACGACAAGACGATCTCAACCAAGTTTGTAAACTACTCATCGGCTGAAAACGACGATGATGGACAGTCTTCTAAATATAGTAATGATCATGAATCAGAATCTAATCGTTCTAATTACGATGATGAAGATGAAGATGGGAGTGAGAGATACGAGAGCCAAAGGGAACCGGTAAAACCGAAGAAGAGTAAATATTTTAGGAAGGATTATGATGACAAAGATTTCGATGATTTTTACAAAAAATCAATAATTAAAAATAGTAAGGAAGATTAATATTTATAATTTAGATTATAGGCTGTGCGCGATGCCAAGATCTCAATGTCATAAAAATAAATTTATGAGAGAGATAAACAAAATTTATTTATTAAAAAATTTGATTATAAAAACTAATGAATTTTTTAAATGACCTTGAAACCTTCAGCCAAACTTCTGCATATATATATATATTATATAGTATATTTTAAGATTATTTATCATAATTTAATATTACAGAATATAATCGTAAAGCACCAGAAATAAAACATCAAAAAGGTGGATTCCTCGATCATAATAAACAATCCAATGATGAAGAAAACCATCCATTTATTTACAACCAAAAGAAAAATTCTCGAAAGTTTTCTGACGCCAGAAAAAGAGCTACCGAAAGTGTATCAAACAATCCAATAGGATTGACGAGTAATAGAGGATTTTACTTTCCTAATATACTTAATACTAAACATCGATCATTCGACAACGAGAAAGTATTTCACGATTTAACAGGAATCTGAAACATAAAAGTTCAATCAATTAGTTGTAAATTAAAACTAATTTAATATATATATTTAAGTATCCAATGTACATTTAAAATAAATTAATTTTGAAAATATTTCATTTTTGTATTATGTACATCAGAATTACAATTTTTTATTTTAAACGACAGAAACAGAGTCTTTTTCACTCTTTCACACAATCCTTCTAATAAATCATCTAACACTCTTCAAATATAATACTTTTACAATAAGAATAGTGTATACCGTATCAAGTGAGAGGAATATTATATGATATTCGTCAACGTCATTTTCACGATAGCACAACATTTAATAATAAGACAAGTAAAATGCGTTTTAGAAATGTTTCTATGTTTCATCGATTAAATCAAATCTCAACGACCATGTTCAAAATATATCTATACCGTGCAGGAAATATATTTAAGTAAGCTACTATCTAGATGATTTCCTGAATTCGTAGATACGAAGATAATAATCTTGAATCATTGACTTCCAGGTTTATAAGTGGTCTCATACACGGTGATAGTATTGCAGAGGAATCAAGAGTTATTAGACAATGAAGACCTGTAATTGTTAACCGTGTCTCTTGAGTTTTACCTTTTATGTTGACTTAATCGTTTTAATTAATATCATTATTACATCGTCCATAAGTTCCAAACCATTCTCTGATCGATTTCGAACTCGTATATATACGCGAGATTTCATCGGTAAAGTATCAGTTCTTCCAACAGCATCCTATCAAGATGAAGACCATAGCAACGGTAATAAGCAAAACTATTATATACAACTCGTATCACTTTGATCTTGTTTGTTTCTACAATTTATAACAAATATTTTGAATTAATATGTCAGATCGTTATTGTATTCGCTGTGGCTATCGCCACGGAATCAAAAATGGAACCGAAAAAACATAAACGTGGTGTTGCATTGTTTGGTCCACCTGGTTACGACGTTTTTGGGGTTGTACCAGCTTACGGTGCAACTGCTTGGGCACCTACCAGTTTTGCTAGTGGCCCATGGAACTCTCAAATTTCTTCTGATCTTGCTCTTGCACAAGTTCAAGCTCAAGAGACCCATAACGTTGCACTACAAGTATGAATTTTGATCAAAGAATAAAAAAAAGAATGCATGAAATTTAATAAATAATTGTAATATTATTTGTAGACTTTGAAAGATCCATCACCGGGAACTCCAAGTATTGCTTATCCACCGGAAGTTGTGAAAGCGATTCAACAAGCTAAAGAAGCTAATCACAACGTTTTGGTTGCTCAACAAAGAGTTGCTGAGGCTAAAGAAGTTGCAGTGGTTCAACAAAAGATTGCACTTGGTAAAGAAGCTGCTGCTAGAGAAGCTGCTTTGAGGTAGATTACCTGAAACAAACAAATTACACGTCTTAATAAATAAATCTCAATATTAAATGTTTGATTTATTTGTTTTTCAGATCACAAGAAATTTCATCGCATGCCCAGGGAGAAGCAAGAGCCAGCGCGAAACAGTTAGTCGCTGCTCAACAGAGACTGGCAACCTTGAAAGATGCTGTGGCTGCTGCACAACGGGTTGCAGCCGCAAGGGAAGCTGCTGCGGCTGCTGCTATTCAGAGAAATGCTGCTGACACTGCGGCTGAACTTAGAAAACAAGATGTTGACAAGCAAATCTCCCAAAGCGAACAAGAAGCCAAGGTTATAATAATTATTATATTATTAATAATTATCTGTTTTTCATAAATACCAGAGATGCAATAATAATATATTATTATTATTATTATTATTATTATTATTATTATTATTATTATTATTATTATTATTCAAAGTGTAATCCAAAAAATGTATTTTCATCTGTTTTTTTTTTTTAGGAAAAGGACATTGTCGCAGCAAAAGAAAACGCAGTAGCAAATGCAGTTGAAAATGCAGCATTTGCAAAATCCGTACACCATCCCTGGGGTTGATTGATACAATCAAATTGGAGCAGTTAATCAAAATTAGAAAATTTCGATCCATAGCATATAATCTCTTTGTTTTTTTGTTTTTGGTGATGGACGTTTTTCATATCTAATCATGTTTTGTATTTGTTATAAATAGAATTTGTTGGCAAAATATATTGTTTTATTCCGAATGATTCTTATAATTTAATACCATCTCTTATATAGACATTAGAAATTTGTCATAGTTTAAATAGAGAGGAAGTTAGTTTGTTCGTAGGAAGAATAAGGTCATTGCTCCTAATCATATACGCATGCGCCAATCGAAGTCATTGCACTGAATCTACAATATGATGTACTCTCAAGTCTACCGGAATCCTTTCACTTGATTCTGTTCCTGACCATACATACATAATTCTTTCTCTCTTCCTCTTTCCTTCACAGGAATTTCTCACGGAACACGCCCAATAATAACTTCCACGAAATAAATTGTAATCAATTGAATAGAGAGAAGTTTTATATTAAATACAATTAAATTTTTGTCGGTCAAACAAAATTAAACGGAACATTCTCTGTATGTAAAATAATCCTAAAAAATATTCTCAAACACATTGATAGAAATTCGCGGCAACTTTTTATCCTTGTGCTAAAGATTAAGAGGAAAAAAATTTATGAGAATAATAGAATGTTATAAAAGAAAAAATTCTTTTTACGAATAGCAAGACCATATTTTCAAATATTTTAATAGATCATTATTAGAAGACGTTGTTTTCACTTAAAACATTTTATCCCCTTTCGCTATTTCTTTCTTGAAAAGAAATCTTTATATTCTGAGAAACGATTTAGGATCGTTGTTGGCTCTACATTGACCCAGATTTATCCAACGACAGTATTTGTTTATTTATTGATAACTATTTGCTTCCGATCTTTGGGAATATCATCAATTAAAAAGAGAGTTACAAGATGTTAGTTATTGAGCAACGGAACGAAAGTTGCCAAGGAAACTTCCTCTCGTTAATGATGTGATATAATCTTGAATCTATATTAAATACTATACGCGTAGAGTAAACGGAACCAAAATATTTGTATTATTTTTATGAATTGAAAAATATTTTCTTCTGGTCACGTTTTTTACATAAAAATAAAACGTTAAAATTTGTGTATCGTATTTATCTCGAGATAAACTTAATAACATTTGTCATCTTTGGGTACGTATTAAAATAAAATATGTATTTCAATTGTATCCTAATTATTTTCTCTGATTTTACAATTGAAGCTTAATATTCATGGGGGTTGATTCGTTGAATGTATATTTAGAAAGATTCCACCAGCAGTTTAGAAAAATAAATAACAAACTATTTAAAATCTGTATTTTCTAAATATCAAGAGTAAAATCGAATTGCTAAGAGATGTCTTGCTACTATAACGAGACGTCCCCCCATGATCCTCCACCTTTCACGCCGAACCGGATAATACTTTCATCGGAGTCGGTTAGCTTTTTTTTTGCCATCCTTTTTTCTAACTCTTGCGTTCTCCTTCACCCAATTTTATTTGCTTTCCTTTCGTATTGCGTGTTCTACTCTCACTGCACCTAGATTTAACCTCATTTCCTAGCATTATATACACTTATAATCCAAGTGCAAAGTACGAAGAACAAGGAAAGGTACTTTCATCTATTGGGCTAAAGTGACGTTTTTAGGAATAACATTTTTGTAATAATTCAACTATGATATTAAGTATTATTGGTATTCTCAGATCATATCAATTACTTTCCAATGCGACGATGTATTTGTCGAATTAGAAAAAGATGGGGAAACGTATCGGTCATGAATTAAATCTAAATCATTGTCACAATTACTGTCACTTATATTCTTCATACTATTATTTATATTTACGTATCTGATTTCAAATATTCTTGACATTAATCTTTTTTTCTTTGGGTTAACACGAATGGTATTTTAGAAAGAATAGGTGCTTTCATTCTTGGCGCGACGGTATGCTGGGGATAAAACGAAAGAAAGGGATGTCCGGATCGAAAAGGAAATCACTTTCATCAGTTTTGTGGCTCTAATAGATTTTGTTTTCTAACACATGGGGCGTGTACATTACATTCACCGGTCGTTCACCAATCTTCAGACGTTCTCATTGCATTCGACTAACACTCTTCGAAGGATCCGGATGGTGTGAACGAGCTTGAACACGATTTTATTTAACAATTTAATCTAAATCATATATAAAATCTTAATGAAAAATATTTAAGACAATTTATTATACAATTAATATATCAAATTGATTACGCATATATATATTATTTATATTTGTTTCCTCTTTCATTTCAAGTTCAATGTCATCGGTACACATGTAAAGATTATTGGCGTTTAGCTTAAAAAGGTGAGAAACAAGTTAACCCATTGCACGTGTTGGATTTCATTACCGACTATCATAGTTCTCGATTTACGAATAGAATATGGGCGAGTACATGTAAGTCCGGTTTTCAAACGAGAGATCCTCCGTTTGCTGTTAACTAAGAAGGGGTGGGAGGGAGAAAGCGTCTTGTGTATAAAAACGAACGTTCAACCTCCGACAAGTTGCAGTATCCCTTACGTTTTCGTTCATACTAACGTCCATTCGTTATTTATCACATTCTAATTAATTAAATAATAATAATAATAAAAATAAAAGAGAGAGAAAAACAAAGGCAAACACAAAACAAATAAACAAACAAACAGATCGTACAATGTATTATTTGTCCTGTGTAAGTACGACGAATAAAAGTAACAACAAAAAAATAAACAAAGAACATGACCAACAACCTTATGGTTTTTAGTATATGTATATACTACCTGGAGATTTGCGAAAGTAGTGAATCATTTTATCGAAATTCCTGATAAATCGAAAGTCTCTTGGACACAATACCCCCTTCTAAAGTAAACGTCTTGTAGACATACAATCTCCTTCTAGACTGTACACTTTTATCGAGGTCAAGTATCTCCTTGGTGAACCATAGGAAACATACTCTGTCTTTCTTTACTTCCGATAAAAAGAAAACACGAGACCCATTTTGAAATAACCTTTCTTGATTTAAGAAAGCTACCCTTCTTATGTTTACTAAAAATAGGTATTTTTTTTCAGCTCGTCGTCATATCTTTGCTTACCCGGACTTGTTTGAGCATTAATTCTGGTGGATGGCAAGGGTATGTAAAATATAAAAATATATTATTCAATATTTAATATAATAATATAATAATATATATGTATATAATAATAGTATTATTATAAAATATAATTAATTTTAAATAAGCATGTGTGTGTGTGTGTGTGTGTGTGTAACTATATTTAATGAATAAAATTATAACTATCGTATTGAAAATTATAATTTTATAAGATTTAACAATAATATTTGCTCGTTTGATTATTTTTTAAACAAAAAATTGACGAGTTTATTAAAAAAATTGAATAAAAATATAATTCATTATTTTGTAAATCTTAGAAATTATAAATTTTAATATTTTTTGTTTATTATATGTGATATGCAGAATATCAACAAATTATGGTTCGAGTTATGGTGGACACGAGGATATATCTCTTCACGATTCTTATGGAAATATTCATCAAGACATAAGCTCTTACGGTTCTTCTTACGATTCTTACGGTGGTGGAGGCCATAGCCTTCACTCAGGTCTCGATCATGGTCTTTATGGAGGTCATGCACAACAACATTACTCCGTACAGGCTGTACCGATCAGCGAACACGTCGAGATTACGAAGCCGGTACCTGTCCCTATTATAAAAAATGTTGGTAAGCTCTAATCCATATAATTTTTCATCATTTTACGGAATTTTTTTCCTTAACTCAATAAACGATTATGTTCTAATTAAGATAAGTCTAATTATAATTACACGAATTTTAATGACCATAAATAAAAATAATCAAATATAATTTGTTTGTTAAGAAAAGAATTAAATGTTTGTTATTGTCTAGGAGTACCAGTAGCTCAACCAGTTGCAATAGCAGTTCCGCATCCGGTAGCAGTAGGAGTACCTCAGCCATATCCGATTCATGTACCGGTTGCCAAACCAGTGGCCATACCGGTGGTAAAAACAGTAGCAGTACCAGTTGAAAAAAAGGTTCCGTATCCGGTGGAAAAAGTGATACCCGTGCCCGTCGAAAAAGCTGTACCAATCACTATAGAAAAACATGTACCTGTACCCGTTGAAAAACCGTATCCGATTCATATACCAGTTTACAAACACATTTATCACAAAGTTAAAAGTTACGGTCATGGTTGGAGTCATTAAAAAGAAAAAAAAAAAATACAGGAAAAAATATTAACAAACAGACAGACAAATAGACAGACAAACAGACAGAAAGTGACATAAGCATATTAAAAGAAAAAAGATAGGTTTGCATGCACACATACTCATTAACTGCATACATTTCTTCGGAAAATTGCCATTTAAAAAGAAACAGAAAAAAATTAAAAAGAATCTTTCGATGAAGCATATTGCCATAAAACATATGCAAAAAAAAGCACACGTCGTTTCCTATAAGTTTTAATCTCGAGTCATAGCTAATAGTATTACATTTTGTATTTATAATACTTAACTGTTGTTACCTTGTTGTACAAAATAAAATATTAATTTTTACCAAAAAATTTATTATTCAATATTTCATCATTCCATTTATATTCTCAATTAATGGATATTTTCTTTTATTAAATCAAATCTGATTAAGCAATTATTAAATATTTATATATATATAATTAACAATAATTCACATAATAGTTTAAAAAATAAATTCAATAAAAATGTATATTTTATTATACGTTCATTGTTAATAATAAGTATATTCTCGTAGAGAAAATATGAATTCAAAAATTTTCTTCTTGCTATAATTCAACGAGTATTAGGTAACTGAACGTTTAACATTTAATTTATTCGTACGCGAGATAAGAAGAAAAGTGAGGGAAATGCGAAAGGGGTTGAAGAAGGGGGGATGGAAGGCAAAGAGATGACTAGAATGATGATAAAAGAATGCTAGATAATAATTAATTTTTCTACCTTCTGTGCATTCTCAAAGAATTCATAAAGTTTTAATCATGAACCAGTGTTAACGGCCTCACAGAGTTTTCTCGATTATAATTAAGAGATAATCTCTCGCAAAGCTTTCGTTATGCTCTCTCCACATATTTTTTGTTTGTGTGCGTTACCCATGTGTACCAGGAATGTAATGCAATTTTATTCAATTAAGATACGTGATGCAAATCGTATCATGCTTTGTCGCATGATGCAACCCCACTCATTTAAGTAATTATTTTTAATGACAAAAATAAACACAAAAGAGCGGTTTGAATAACTCGAAAAGAATATAATTAATAAACAATGATTATGATTATTCATCAATATTGTTTCTTATAAATCATTGAATTTAGTCTTTCATAGGAACGAAAAGATAGAAAAATTAATTTCCTTATGAATATTTTTATAGTGAAAACGCAATAGGAAGTTCGTAATGTTCTTTCCCCTATATTTTACAGAAAGATGTAGCACGTAAATGTAATTTATGCGGCGTAAAAGCTTCTAAAAGCTTCACTGACCCTCCCAGTGTTCGGTAGAAAATTAATTACACTAGAGATAGAATGTATATTTCTACGACAGGATGTGTACGTGTGTATGTATCGTTTGTAGGAATTATAATATCGTTAGAAAGAGAGAAAGAGAGAGAGAGAAAGAGAGAGAATATATAATGTATCTAATGTATGTAGGAAAGAAAAGTTGAATCTATCTTTGTCAGTTTAGTTTATCGTACAATCTAATATTTGAAACCGACAAGTGAGATCAGAATGTTAGTCGTTGATGTATCTTATGACAGATACTTTCATACGATAGTTAATTTTTTTTACCAATCTCAAAGACGCGTCTTCTTTACCCGAGAATGTTAACAAACGAGTTCTCGTTACGGTTTGTCGGTTAAAAAATTATTCTTCTTTCCTTGATATCTTTTTACTCCTTTCACATAAGTTTATTTTGTTGGTAGACAAGTAAGTATGATACATAGATAACACATTATCATACTTTTGGAACTAGATTTATAGATCGCGATTTATATCCACTTAGGATCGATACTTGTAAATTTTAACGGATAAGTATGATAGATAATATATTATCATAGTAAAGAACTTGATTTATGGATAATTTATATCTGCGTTAAAATCGATACGCGTAAATTTTATAAGTGGTCATATATTTTATCGCGTGTAACATTTTTTTGAAATTTATAACCAAAACTAAAAGCATCTACGATAATATAGTAGGTTAATACATTAATTCGATGCATTTTCTTTATATTTTCTTTTCTTATAAACAAATTTTTATATTTATTTACTATACTGAATTAATTTCCACAAATTTTAATTCCTTAATTATTATTACAATACAATTAGATATATTAATAAAATATAAACTAATACTATCTACTATATTATTATACAAAATGTGTAGCCATACCATAAAATAATAATCCAAATAGCAATACACACAACCAATACAAGTGTTATAATCATACATATAGTTATTGGTTTATTTGATGTCTATGTAAACGTGAACGGAAGTGAGATTAGATCAAAGGGTTCCAAACGAATCGTTTTAGTATTGACGTAACGTAGCGGGACCATAAATGTATAGCAAATCTAAGATGAAATTCACGAAGGTTTGCAATAGATGGTCGCTCACCCTTCTGACTGTATAAGTAATGACCGAACTGTAAACGAATAGAGAATACTACGAGGTAGTCAATTATTTTCACGTGCTCGACGAAGCGTTTACGGTAAAACAATTGTACATACTAAATGGGATTCCAAGCACGCTTAGCCGAGACTAAATTACATCGTCGACAGTGAAAGGCCCCATGGTATATTAAGACGAGCTATGCTCGAAGATGTATCAGTCTCAGTAAGAAATCTCTTCTAACAACAAGGCATCCTTGCACTTTGCACAAAGAGACGCGTGTTCGATCATGAATAAAATCGTGAGTAGTAGAGATATGAGAAAGAAAAAGAAAAAATTGGATGAAAAATTAAAAATAAAAGAAAAGAAAAGAAAAGAAAAGGAAAATGGAATACGCGATTAAACGTTTAACGCGATTAATTCGTAAAAATATAGAAAAAAGAATTAGTAATTTAAACAAAAAAATTATTAATTGCATAGTAAATATATGAAATTATTGATACGATTTCTCTTGATATTTGAGGTGAAAGAAACTGGAAATTTATTTTTGTTGTTGTTCTTTTCGTTAAATTCGATATAACTTCAGTACATTTATTTTTTTCCAAGCTTATTTTATCTTAATTTGACTTCTCTAGCGTAATTGGTGATTCCTTTTTTTTTTTTATCTTTCTCGAGATTAGAAAACAGGTATTCTAGACTCGATCTTAACCTTCGTTCGCAGGTATTACTTTCACTGTTGTCCTTGGCCACGGCCGCGCCAGTAATCGTGGATCAACGTTACAGTCATGATGATTTAATGCGAATAGTTCGGCACTTGCAAAATATCAAAAGATCGGACCAAGAAAGTTATGGAACTTCAGGGGATGGTGGTGGCTATGGTGGTGGTGACTATTCCAGTGGTCACGGAGGTGGTGGTTTCGAAGCTTCCGCAGGACATTTCGAATCGGGTGGTGGTCATTTAGATGGAGGACATCAGGATTATTCATCTCTTGGGGGATATGGTGGTGGATATGGTGGTGGATATGGTGGTGGACACGGTGGTGATGAGGGTGGTCATGGAATTTCTTTAGACGGTGGTCATAATTTCGTTCACAGCGTACCAGTATCAGAACACGTTGAAGTTACCAAACCTGTTGCTGTACCAGTTTACAAGGAGATAGGTAAGTCCTACCTGAAACAACAACAAGAAAAGAACAGATTAACATCATGTTCAACTAATTTATGTCATTTTTAGGTATACCAGTACCACATCCGGTCAAAATAGGTGTCCCTCATCCAGTAGCTGTTGGGATTCCACAACCATACCCAGTTGCAGTACCCGTGTCAAAACCTGTCCCAATCCAAATAGTGAAGACGGTTGCTGTACCTGTCGAAAAAAAGGTTCCGTACCCAGTAGAAAAACATATACCTGTACCTGTTGAGAAACATGTTCCCATAACAATAGAGAGACACGTGCCAGTACCAGTAGTTAAACCTTATCCTATCAGGATTCCTGTCTATAAAACTATCTACCATCATGCAAAAAAGGGTCACTAGAATAAAAAATAACAGAGAATTTCCTTTCGTCTTTGATGAAATTTATAGGCACGGTATAAACTGAATCAAGACGACTGGATACCTTGAGAATGAAATACACGAGGCAGACAATTCTTCGTTGTTTCTTCTTTTAGAAATATTTTAGGGTCCAATTTGTTACGTTATACTTGTTTTTTTTTATATTGTATATACTCATGTTGGTATCACCGAGTGCATTATAATTATGCTATAAGTGTGTTTTGGTGCTACATTGTTACGATAACGTTATATTTTTGTACGTCATTGTTTTTGTTTTTCAATAAAAAGAAATCGAATATAAAATCGCATAAAAAATATCAAAGCTTTTTCCCCTAATCTCAAGTCTCACATCAGTGAAAGTCCTGTCCAAGTGAATGTATTCCTCTTACACAGTCACCTCTTAACGTGGTATGAGTATTTTTTTTTTCATTTCAGAGAAAATAGATGCATCGTAGAAAATATATAAGAGTTTATCGTCCTCTGATATAAAACGTCGTTCCACCAGAGACACTCAATTTCACTCGTAATTAACTATAATTCTTTTATAAACGTAAATTGTTTCAACGAACACTTTTAATGTTAAAACGATTTGACATCTTTTATAAATTGTTTCCATTATTTTCAATTAAATCATCAAATTCTTTGAAATTAATAGACATTTTCTATTCCATTACACACGAATAATTGAATTATTATTGTTATTAATATTATTATTATTATTCAGAATAAAGTTGTATATAACACCTTAGACGTCAAAAAATATATGTAGGAATTTATTATTATATATATAGAAATTTAATTTTCAGATTAATTTAAAGTATTTAAGTATATAATAGTAATATCAATTATTATACGTATTATAGCAATATTATAGTATATATAATAATCTAAGGTGTAATATTATTTTAATAGGACATAGATTAAATTTAAAACGTTCAATAAAGTTTTGATTTAATTTTGAATATTATGTTCACGTACGTAGATACTATTCACCATTACTATTATCTTTCATTTCCCGTAGAATAGACGAACGTGACGGATCCACGTGTATACCGCACGCAAAGAAACATAATTGCGGCTTTCACTGAAAATTTCAATATATTTGCCACGGATTCCATGGAAAGCGAATGGCCGAGTCGAGTTAATCCAACCGTTCGAAATAAGATCAATGTAATCGTTTGATGCAAATGAGGCGTGACTATTAAATACGATTAAGAAGAGACAACAACTATGACGGCCTTAGCCTAAGCCTTCTCGTCGTTCACATTTATTTAAGTCGCATTATAATGAACTTAACAATAACAAAATGAACGTTCATTAAATTTTATTATATTTTTCTTCTTTTTTTTACTTTCTTTTTAATTTAATACAATTTTTTTTCAAAAGACACCAATGATCGTATAATTATATTTTAATATGAATCACGTTTAGAAAGTTTTTTCTTTTTTTTCTTTTTAATATTTTTCATTTTTTAAATATTTGATCGAGTTTTATACAACAATTTTGTATTTTTGTTATTAATTATCGAATTCGGCCGAATAAAATTTGTTTCTAATTGTAAGTTTAATTAAATTCTATGAAGAGTAATTTAATGATAGGATATTAAAAAGAATTTTTTAATGAGTTCGATATGAAAAAAAAAACGGAAATAAAGTGTTACGTAATTTCAGTATAAACTGAAAAAAGTGGTGAACAAAATAACCGCAGTGGTATTTCCACAAATCGGAGCAACGTGGTACAGTGAAGGTGGAAAATAGTGGGGCAGTGGTCAGTCTCATGGTAAGAGGTATATAAAGTGACACTTAAAGAATTTATCACAAGTGAACCTATTTCTACAAGAGGAGCATAGATGAATTTACTTGGCTAAATATGATTAGGATCGTACGTAAATGAGTGTTAATTTCGATGATACTTTTAAACGCTAAACCAATATAAACCCTTGCATCACATCAATGACTTTTTCTCTAACTTTATTTGCACATAAAAATAAAAAAAGAAAAGAAAAAAAACAAAAAAAGAATGTTTATCAAGTGTGTTAACAATTTGGAAAGACAAAAAAAGAGCAGAAAAAAATATACCAATATAATGAGGTAATTAAAATAGTGATTTAAAGTGTCGTGCAAATTTTTGTTTAGAAAGCATTCATATTGTGCACTACCATCATTGGTTATTCTCATGGATCTGGATTAAGTTTTGATGGTCTATCTCTTGGAGATCATAATGGTGGTTTTGATTTAGGAGGTCATTATGGAGGTAGTCTCACTCTTGGAGAAATTTCAGTTCATCATGGAGACGAATTACCGGCCATAGATTTAGGTGAAACTGCTTTGACAGGGGGTCATTATTAAAGCCCATTGATCGTCTGCTAACAAATAATCTTGGATAATTATTGATCTTAGGGGGAGGTCACTTAGGAGGTGGCTGGGATTCTGGAATATCTCTTGGAGGTCATGGTGGTTATGGAGGTCATGGTGGTTATGGTGATCATGGATTAAATTTTATTCCTTCCATCAAACATATTGGTGAACATAATATAATATATCATTAATTAAACGTATTTTATTTTATATATATAATTTTTCTTGTTAATTAATTGTTATTTATTTTTAGGTGTACCAGTTGTGAAAAAAATTCCCATCAGCATTCCTAAACTTATGGTGCAAACGGAGCCACAACCATATCCTGTAAACGTTTTTGTTCCTAAACCTGTACCATACGAAGTAAGTTTGAAAACGTCATACTAATTAATTGAGTAAAGTAATGTCACTAAATTTTATATGACAATTATATCCGTATCAAATTTGCAGGTAGTAAAACCAGTGATTACGAAAGTTGAGAAGAAAGTTCCAACTCCGGTTGAGAAGATAATACCTTATAAAATTGAAAAACCAGTACCTTTTAAGGTATACAAACATATTCCTGTACCAGTATTAAAACCAATACCGATCAAGATACCAATTTATAAAACAATAGTGCACAAATCAAAACATTATAAACACTACTAGATCCTGCAACATTAAAACGACTCTGTTATATTTTTATCTGATTTTATTTATGATAAAATTTTTCCTGTTATATGTAAATAAATAAATTGTTATTAATATATTTAATTTTAAATATTTAGTATATTTTTATTAATATGTTGTTAAAATAATTAAACAGTATGAAAAATATCTTAGTTCAAGAATGCAAACTTACATTTTGTGTTCCTAATTTTATTCGTAAGGAGATTTAACCCATAGTAACAAAACCGAGTGAGAAATGAACCCTTCTAATTTTGAAGGTAAACGTTTGGGTAATTAGGAGAATCTTACCTTTAAATGAATACTATTACTCAATGCCAGAAGATTATATTCTTGTGTGAGATAATTATAGAATGTTATTTGTCAGAGTTGTAAGGCTTATTCGTTAAAGAAAATAAAATTAGAAATTTAATACTGATATTTGTTAAAAAAAACTTTGACAGTGGAAATAAATTTATGAGAATTTGAAAAAGAAATTTATCGAATAGCATCATTAATCATTATGACCAATATTATTACATGATCTTTATTAGAATTCGATTGTCATGTTTGATTATGAATTATGTAACTTATTTTATTGCATTTATTAGAACGTTAATACGTAAACTGTAAAACATAACTCAAGGAACTTGTCAATACTTATATAATATTATTCATTAAAGAAAGGAAGGAAGTAAAAGTTTTTATTTGACGAATTGTAAATTAATGAGAGAAGAGAACTTCGACAATATTACCTTTCACCAAAAGTAAGATAATAATCGGTGATTAAAATTAAATCTGAGTAGACAAGACTATGGTAACGATCTGATATTTCGAATTACCAAAAAGTCGATGAACTTTAAACATAGGTTCGTATACGTGTGTATTTAAAGTGAATGGCCGGAAGAAGTACCCGTTCCTTTCGAATACCAAAAAAAAATTCTTCTTCTGGTATAGTAATTGATCAGATTCCTATCAATCAGAAAATTGGCGACGTATAAAAGAAGTTTCAAAAAAGTTAAACGATTTCTTTGCTTAAGGTGTAACATGGGTTCTTGTAACGTAATTTCTTAACTATCTCTGTTGAAAGCTTGCTTGCTTGTAGAAGAATTTTTTGATTGGATACAAATTCTAACTCGATAAAAATGACTATGCTTTATTTGGATAATAATTGCAACTTTTTAATCAGATAATAGTTATTTTCATATCGTTTTATAATTTAGATTATCAATATTTCATCGTCAAATATTATTATAATTATACTATTATGCAATCATTAATATTCAGATACTTATTATTTATTATTAATTATTCAATAATATAATTATTTTAGTAATACGTAATAAAAAATAAGGAAGTAGATACCAAAATTAACTTTATACTTTATTTCCTCTTCCGAAAACTATAATTATTAAGATTCACGATAGACTGAACATTTCTTTTTCTTTTTTTTTTTCAAGAAGAAGGAAAATACCTTAGTTAGGAAAATCGATGGGGAAAGCAAACATTTCACGCTCATGTTTACTGATCATTCTATTCATCTGAATATAATAACAATCATAAAAAAAAAAAAAAGAAAAGAAAAAATAATTCTCATTGTTTTCTTCTTAAGGTATGAAAACACGCTATAAATACTTGAAACGTGCAATTATACCCTTCTTATATAATTTCGCGGTATGCTTGAGAGGAATGTTTTAAAAAAATATATCTCGTGAGTTTATATGTATATGCATTTGTGTAAAAATGTTGAAATAAATAATACTGAAAAAGAAGTAGAAAGGAAAGATGTGGTAAAAGAAGAGGTTGTTTGTGGCGAAAGTAAAATTCTAACTTGACTTACTCTCCAGAACTATCACCGTGATGGTAATATTAAAAAAAAAAAAATTAAGAAAGAATAACCCATAATTCGTTGCTACATAACAACAAAACCTATATTAGTAATTTCTCAATCGTAATTTTCCTAATCTTGATTTTTTATTGTTAAAAAAATATTTTTTTTTCTTTCATAATATATCTACGCAACAATACAATTCATTCATTTTATATGTATTTTATATTAAATTGTGTGAAAAAATATTTACGATACGATTCGCGTTTATATATTATATATATTAGAAAAATAAATATTTCGATTATTAGGTGTTTAAATTAATTCGGTATTCTATTTGAAAGTAATGTATTATTTATTAATGTAATAATAAAGAATAAATTTTAAAATTGCTAACAACATTAAAATGATTGATTTTGTTGATAATTCTATACTATAATATTATAGTTTCGAGAAAAAGAATGTTAAAGTAAATAAAGGATAATGGATACGTAATTTTGTACGTATATTCTCTCGATATATTATACGAATAATATTCAAATAATAATATATCCTCAAAAAATGTTCTTATTGGAAATAACAGAGCCTTTCGAATCTAACGAAATCCGAGACAAACTTTCCATGGCGAAATGATAGTTCGGGGGCATCGAGCCGTTCATCCAAGAATATAAGTATTATAAGTTATCTATGTCGTAGAGCTTATGTCGTTCCAGACTTCCGATTTCTCCCTCTATATATCTCTTTCGCTTTTCCTTTTTGTTTCGTATATCGTGTTAAAAAAAAAAAGAAAAAAAAAAAGAAGAATGGAACATCTAAATTAAAATTCAGCATATTCAAATTAAATTTCGACCAATTATTCTTTTCTATTCAGTATTTTAATTAAAATCTTGATATGAAAAACAAAACATGATAAAAAAACGAGGTATTTACTGTTATTAAAAAATTATTTATCTTCTTTTCCTGCAGTAAATATTTATAACGAATGAAAATTTATTAGAAATTATAATTTTTTGTTGTACGTAATACGAAAAAAAATTGAACAATCTAATGAACGATTATGTAGAGTTTAAAATTGTCGATTCTGTTAACAATAAATATTTGAAACGAAGTAACATCTTTCAAAAACTTTCATATTCCTGGTAACATAGTTTGTAAAAAAATTAAAAAATTAACTCGTAATTCGTTGTCAGAGAGCTACTCATGTCTACCCAACAACGTTCACTTCCGGTAAATTTCAGAGTTACACAGAGGTAGTTGCATTGCGGTACATGATTGTGGTTTAGGAGTCCTTCTAGTGAACGTAGATCAAATATGAATATGAAATGGGTAGTTTCTGAAGAGGTAGCTTTCATTTGATGGATAGATATATGTATCTAACTTTTCCTATTTTATTATATTTTGTTAGTTGTATCTATGTAACTCCTCTGATTGAGGAAGTAGGGAAGGAGGTGGGAATAGGAGGAAAAGGAGGAGGAGGAGAGGAGGAAGGAAAAAGGGTTTAAAAGTAAGAAGTATATTTATTTCATTATTGACAGAAGTTCCCTCGATTTAAAATAAGATCTTTGATTGGCCGTTCACCATAAAACTCATTAATATGAAGCAAATCGAATGGTGCACTTCGATGCTTCCTGTACATGCAGGAAACTGTCCATGTAATAATGAATTTATTGATCCATTTGTACTTCTAATTATTTCAATGGTATTAGTACCAAAAAATAAAAGAAAAACAAATATAAATTACATTGATTTATTTCACGATTTATTTCACGATTTATTTCGTGCTACAGATTTAACAAAATCTATATTATAATTTACTAAAAATATTGTTTCTCTTATTATATTAAAAATAATTGTTTTGATTATATAATCGTATTACAAAAATTAAACTCATAGTCTATCGAAAGAAATTTTTGTATTTGGATATAAATAAAAATATAAGATTTTTCTCTGATAGACATTTTTTAAATTGGAAAAATCATTCGATTGAAAATTCTTATTTGGAATTGTAGTTTTATATTTTTCTCTCATTTTTTTTTTTTTTTTCTTTTTTTTATGGATTCCTATCGTGATACTTATAAGAATTTTTTACTATATCTGTAAGAAGATGAAACGAAAACATCCCTTCGTCATCTAAGAAGATGATTTTCTCAAACGTTAAAACGAGCTTAGTGGAAATACGGTTATGACGAGAGAACGCAAGACCGCTAAAGTATAATCCTATTTCGAACAGGAAATTTTCTCGTCTTAGAACGAGACTGTACCCTTCACTTCCGGTAATTGTAAGAACTCGAACGATCGATTAGTTGCCTCAAGGCGTATAAGCATTTCTGATTTTCATTGATGTCATGTCTCCTTTCTTCTTTCTTTATTTTTTCTTTCATCCTATTTTTTTTCTTTTATACACCACTTACGTAACACCGAATTTAATTTATTTAACACCGAACAATTGGTAAATTAGAAAAATATTTATATAAAAAATAGCTTTATATATATGACTTTTATATTTATCGTATTTTTTTAATTATATTTTTTCTTTTCTTTTTTTTTTCTTCATCCCATTTACTTATCTGTACAATTTTTACATAAAACCGTGTTTATTCTGTTACTTGTAAATTAGAAAATTTGTTGAACATGTCAATGGAATTATTCGAATCGTTTAGTGAACTTTTTCTTTTCTAAAACGTGACAATTCATTTTTAGAATATTTTATTTCTGACTGTGTATTTGCATCGTCAGAGCAAGACGAACGGCGAAGACAGGATACTGGTAGTGGTAACACGTACTTCTCGTTACTCCCACCCCCTTTCTTTCTTCTCTCGCTCAGAGCCCTCCAAGAGGGCGATCCACCGTCCCGTAAGATTTTAGTGAAAGGTGGTGGAATTCACCATAGTATATAAGCAGGCTATTCGAACCCTGTCAACACTCGTGGCTTGATTTCTAACGTACTACACCCTTCCAATTGACTTTATTTGCAACATGAATTCGATCGTAAGATCTATCTATCATTTCGGATTGTTATTATTAAATAAATATTCAATAATTAATTAATCAGATTAAATCATCTCTATAAAATTAGTTTTTTTGTTTTCATTTACGTAATACATGAAAATTATTTATGGAATACAATAATTATATGCAATAATATAGTATAATTGTGTATAAATATTATTCAATGGTAATATAATAAATAATTGTAAAAAAAAGAAAAATAATATATTTTTTTCAGATAATAATTTTGGCTTTAATCGGTTCATCCTTCGCCGGTCATTACGATGAAGATCACGGTCAATCAACTTACGAAGAAAAATCAAAGACAGTTGAAATACCGATTTACAAAAAATATGGTAAAAATACTATAAATTTCCTTATTTTTTTTTTTTATTATTATTCGTTAAGATTTGTATTCACATTTTTCAATATTTGAAATACTTGTAGCTATTCCAATACCACATCCGGTGCCGGTAGAAATTCCTCAAGAAATCAAAATACCTATACCTCAACCTTATCAAGTGCCGGTTGAAATTCCTCAACCTTATCCTGTTGAAGTTGTCAAGCAAATAGAAGTACCTGTAGAGAAACCGGAACCGTATGTCGTTGAAAAACATGTAAGTATTTTAATTGTTCAATAATACTATCCAAAATTACAATTTTTATTTACTCAAATAATAATTTAATTATCGTAAATTACGTTATAAAATTATGTAACAATCATTTCGATTAATTTATGATGCAATCAAAGTTATCGATTTGTTTTTAACGTTAAATGAGTTTCTAAATGAGTTTACATTTTTTCTTATTTGCAGGTTCCTTACGTAGTAGAAAAACCATATCCAGTTTACGTCGAAAAGAAATTTCCGGTTCCAGTAGCGAAACCTTATCCTGTTCACGTTCCAATCTACAAACATGTATTTCACCACACGTCAAAGGGCAAAGGATGGCATTAAAAAAAAGGAAGAAGGAAAAGAAGAAAAAACGATTCTGTGTACCCAGAGGATCTTTAATCAACATATTAATTTTAAGAACGTTGTTAATTTATTATGATCATTTTTTAGAGAATTTTATATTTGTTAATAATTTTGTTACTTGTTTTTTTTTTTTTATATTACCTGTTAAGTTTTTCCAACATATTTTGTAAAAGATAAAGAAAGAGAAAACAAAAAAAACAAAAAAAAAAAAAGAAAAAACACACACATTACAGAAGATAAATAAATACCAGAACCTAAAACACTTCTTCTTCTTCTTGTTAGGACTTCGTCCTATCATATATTAGTTATATAGTTCTCTTTTTTAGGGCGTTTGTTAATCTTGTGATGATAATGTCCAGCTTTCATGCCACCTTTTTTGAGGTCTTCCAGGTAGTTTCGTTATCCCTATTTTTCCTGTTTTTGCCACCTTTGGTAGCCTACTGTCGTCCATCCTGTCTACATGGTCTCGCAACTCTCTTCTTCTCCCTCTTATCCACCTAAAAAAAACGAATCTACAAAACGTACTACTTCATTCGACTTTCAATTTGAAATTAACTCAATGATCTATAAAATCGTGACGAATTTAATTCCAACACGGTATGATTTTTTTCATTTTCTTCTTCCTGTAATTTAATTCCGGAAAATAACAAAAAAAAATATATAAAAAAGAAAAAAAAAAGAATGCACAAAATGGTAGCAAAAGCCGGACGTGTAATGCGGCATTGAATTTCCTCGTTTGTTTCATCGTTACGATTCTAACATTAGGAACAAAACTAAACAACAGATATGGTGATCTTGATTCACCATAACAAGTTAGATGGCTACTTGCTTGACTCGGTTTGTTGAGACTTGACGAGCGTTCCTTGCGCAGACGTGTGAAACCACTTTTACTTGGGATGCACTTTCACTGTTCCGCTCTGAGATACACAGGATAGAATCACCGACGATTCGAATCTCGAGATCGACTAACTCACCTGGCCACACCCCTCGCATGATCTTACCTTTTAGAAATACATATAAATAAATATACCAAACGTGAACGTATTTAGTACTTTTTATTATTTTTCATCATTCCTTTTTTTTCTTTTATCATTTTATTTCTCGTATTTACGTCAATAATGTGAATTAACGTAAAACGATATCAAACTTTCTTCCACTTTATTCGCGTCAACGTCCTTTAATTATTCGTTTAATTTTTTTATATATAATACAAGGTCTAACGCGTTTGTTCAAAAATATATTTCAATATAATTTAAATGACTGATTTAATTTTCTAAACGATTTTTTTTGGTTACCGATGGGATAATAGAGTTCATTTGAAAGACAAATTATTTCTTTTTTTGATTAAATATTTACACGAAGTCGTTAATCGAAATTCCATCGAAAAAATCTTGAGAATATATATTCCGATGGAATTTTATAATTTTTACGATCTGTTGAACTTTACGAAACTTTTGGGAAGAGTAGATAATAGTTAATCAAACGATATAATTCATGTATCTTATCTCCCCCTTCCCCCTCATAGCGTTATCGGCATTTAAATACTCCCTTGTAAATTTGTATCCGATCTTATAGAAGGGGGAACATTTCATAGATTGTTAGGCACAAAAAATTAGACCGTGACATTACGTTACGCCGTTTAATCGGTTCTTTGTCTCGTTTTCTATCGATAAAAAGAGACTCTATTATGATAATTTTAATAATTTTTATGAAAAAAAAAAAATATATCAAAAAGAATCAGACAAATTTCTCCGTCTTAACTTTCAATTTATGTTATTTTTATAATAATAAAACAATTCATCATGAGAAGTTAAAACGAAAGTATATCCATATTTTTATTTAACGTAAGTAAAACTCGATCGGCATTTGTTTTGTCGTTAGAACAATAATTTTTAATTTTAAAGATTATCTTAACATGATTGATGAACTAACTTTCATTCGATATGATTTATATGCGAAAATAATAGATGTGTTGGTATTAGTGAACGTAAAACAGAACGTTGCTCCTGAGAGTCCACACCCAGAATTACGATTACATTTATACTAATATATGATGGAAGGCTGTACACTCACTTAAACGCTTAGAGATCATCTACTGTTGGTGTAATGAGGAGAAGGGAGAAAGTTGCATTGGTATATAAACTCTTGGCCGTGACTTTGAAAGTATCAAAGAGACGGTGAAACATACTGCGAACGGATTTGCGAGAGTATCTTCGCGCAAGTCTTTTGGAACGATGAAACTTTTAGTGAGTAATCCAAAATCATTCTAAACGATAAAATAATTATTAAGAATAATCCCTAGTGTGTGTATACAATATTTGTAACAAAATTAATTTAGCCAACAAGCTAGTCCATACACACAATCGACGATAACTTTATTAAACCTGAATTTAAATTAATAAGATTATGTTATTTGTTTGTGTAATATAGATTTTAGCCACAATGGTGGCTGCAGTCTGGGCTGGTTATGAAGAAGATCATGGTGGTTCTACCTATCACGAAACTTCGAAACCCGTGGAAATACCGATTTACAAAAAATATGCTATACCGATTCCACACCCGGTTCCAGTAGCAATACCACAACAGATTAAAGTACCGATACCGCAACCATATCAAGTACAGGTACCAGTGCCACATCCGGTCCCCGTGGAAGTTGTTAAACATGTTGAGATTCCTGTAGAAAAACCTGAACCATACGTGGTTGAAAAGAAGGTAAGTGTTGATCGATCGGTAAATGTGTAGACCACAGACAAGATACTAAACTAAACAATAATTTCTACTTTATCGACTTTAATCCCATATTATAATACATCACTTTCGATATAGTAACTTTTTTTATCTTTAATGAAAGTATACGAAGTACATATACGTATCAATAAAATAAAAAGGCAATTCTTTTTAGGTACCATACGTGGTTGAGAAACCATATGCAGTAACTGTCGAGAAACATTTTCCAGTACCGATACCAAAACCATATCCTGTACATGTGCCAGTTTATAAGCACGTTTTTCATCATCAAAGTAAAGGACATCACGGTTGGAAGCACCATTAATACGAATTAAAACGTTAATTCAATAATTTCATTGCCAAAAAAATTTATAAATAATAAAAATTAACAAAAAAAAAAATATAAATAATAACACTTTAGGTTAATTTAGTAATTTAGTATTTAAACTAAATTTAGATTTAAATAGGTGTTATGCGTTTTTGTAAATAATGATATACTTGTTACCGATCTTATGTATCGTTGTTTCATTGTTGAATAAAATAATGATTTATTTGTACGGGTCGTTGGGTGATCACTTTCCTCCCTCGGGTGACATGACCGTTTAAGTTGAATTACTTGGATGACTGAAAGGATTCGAAAGTACTAGGCTTAATTGTAGGCTTACCGAGTTGACGTTTAACCGAGCAACATTCTATCGCAGCAACATTACCTTTTTTAAAATCTAAGAATCATTAACTCATGGGATACGTTTGACCCCGTTAAACGTTAAGTTTTTAAAACAAAGACCGCCCGCCTATTGGAAACACTTTAGCAATAAATAATCCATCAATTCAATAAGACTCAATGATCGTGCATTTTTTTATTTTTAAACACACAACTTTTATAATCGTTTCATAAGACGCTTGTAATTCATAGTGATCGTCAAGACAACGTCATTGATCATTTCGTAATTTATTATCTTCATATGCCGCCTAAGGCAATTTCATAGATTGCAGGCAAAGTACTGCAGGGCAAGAAAGAAGAAGAAGAAAACTAAAAAAAAAAAAAAAATAAATAAATATAAAAAAAATAAAAGGTACAATCAAACAAATCATTTAGAATCACGATATTTTTTTGAGAAAAATGCGGATGTAAAATAACAGTAGTCCCTGATGTTATAACGTCACGATCGTAACTTCGGGCAATAATACCTTGGAGCAATCTTTGAGTCCTGCTAGCCCAATGCTAGCCAATTTGAAATGGTTTTGTCCCTGTTGTGTGTCGTAAACGGTTTACCGCATTGGTCTAGAACGTGAACTATTCGATCGTGCCTGAGGTGGATAGATAGATACCCACATATACATGTACGTACACAAACATAATTTCTTACGAGAGTAACTGAATTTATTCAGGAAATACCGGGGCGCGAGCAATTGCATCACATCTGAGACACAGGGCTTCGAGCAAAGAAACGACCACTTTTTTACGCCGCTTAAGGGAATCTCAATCGGCGTTGGTCAACGAGAAAACCTGTGTCGCATAATCGGTGCTAAAGTTTATAAAACCGGCAAGTAACCAAGACGAGCTTCTAGTTTAGTTCAGAACATTCATTCCATCGGTTTATCTAATCTCCATCTCTCTTTACTATCCATATACTTCATCTTCTATTAGATTTTTATTAGAAGATCGAGAGAGAAGACATAAGACATAATAATGTTGAGGTTACTGGTAAGCGAAACGCATATTTGACGATACGCTTTTTTACTTGACGCTTTTCTCTCTACAACAAATGATACAATCTCTTTAAGCACGAGGGAATCCTCGCACGCTTCTGCTGCACATCATCATTTTTCTTTATCTTTCAATATTTTATCTTTTCTTATTTAAAAGTGAAATCTTGTCAACCTGAGGCATCTACTTCTTAAGTGCTCGTTAAAATATGTTTCATATTCATGTAGAAAACGATACCTCTAATTTAAGATTATTACCTCTTTTCTTTTTTCTTTTCTTTCCATTTTTTTTTTTTCGTTCATTATAATCCTTTCTAATCTTCAGATACCATGCCTTTTATGGCTGGCGAGTGTCCGCTCGCACGGCGTGGAACATATGGATACGGAAATGATGAATTCCGGTACAATTGATTCTTCGATGACCAAATTGAAAAGACACTTTGTTCAGCCGCCTTGTCCACCGCAGTACCACGTTCCATCGTATCATCAATCATCCTATTTTATAAAATCATATGAACAGCCTAGTTATCCGAAAAAGGAAGTGACAGTTCATCAACCACCACTGCAGTCACACTACACCTTAAGTCATCAACCGAGTTACTCAATCATTCCAAAACAGCATGTGACTTACGTGAAACCGCAAGTAGTTAGTTATCAACCAGTTCATGCACCATCCTATCCGGTACATCCTGTTCAATCAGTTGTCAAACCATGGATGCCAGAGTATACACCACCTAAAGTGATTTATCAAAAACCGTCGTATACTTACGCACCGATTTATCAAAAGCCAATGTACGAGATGCCGAAAATTTATGTGAAAAAATTCGAAGTTCCGGCGGTTCAAACGCAAGTCGTTTATCAAAAACCAGGAATTGTTTATCAAAAACCAGCTGTCGTTTATCAGAAACCACATCCAATTACATATGTTCCACCCCCACCACCACCAGCTAAAGTTATCCATTTACAAGCAGCACCAATTTCTTATGTTAAAATTGCACAACCACCACCAATGATTCACCCACCTGTATATCTTCCACCTGCACCCGTTCATCATGCCCCGGCTATCGTCAAAATAGCTAAACCTATGTGCGATTGAAATACTGGAATGAATTTAACCCCGAGGAAAAAAAGAAATATCTAATTTAATCAATCGTCAATTTCTCTTTTTTTTTTTATATAAAATTAAGGGAAAATCCGATAGCTCGTACGAAACAACAACGATTTGTTTAAAGCAATCGAATATACTTATCGAGCTTAAATTAAACTGCCATAACGAGCTGCACTTGTCGATCGTAATTTAATAAAAAATTCTACACATTTGTAATCTATTCTCCCTACAAATAAATCTGTCTTACGTGATTACGGCAATAATGAAGTTTTTATTATATCCCACGCTTTAACTTTTAAAAATAGTCTTATTATTCTTTCAACTTCCTTCCTGTCTGTTGGGGATCTGGCAAATTTTGTGTAAGTATCTATATATCTTTCTCTCATACTTACGAAATCACTGGATTTGAATTTTTTACGTAAACACTGAAAGTTCTCGTCGAAGAATTCTCAAATAGAGAATTGTATGTGTACCAGAACTATGTAACCACTCTAACATCATTATATTGTTTCTATAATCTTCTAACAACGAAAATTCTACAGTAATTGTAAAAAATATGCAAAGAAAATTTTAGAATGTACGTAATTAAACCCACAACTTACCTATATCTCTTTTGAATCCTAGAAATCAATGATACGATAGAGAACTAATTACGCGTAAATACAAATCGAGGTTTTTCAAGATATTTCGAAGAACCATCTTTGTTTCGTCAGAAACTCGTAACGCTACACGCCGTTAATTGCACAACGCCTTCGGCAACAAACGTTTAATCTTCATTTTGAAATTGTTGAGAGGTTGCTTATTCGCGCTCTCTACACCAAATCTCAACCTTCCCATACCCATGTAAAACTCAAGACCATGAATCCATGATATATCCTGTCATAGAGAAAAGATACGCCATAGAATATTGCGATTATAAACATCCGTTAATACTTAACAGTGGATATTCGCATGAGATATTTCAACATTTCTTTCGGGGCATCCGAGTATAAAAACTAACGTCGTTTCTGAGAAATGCACAGTAGAAATAACGAGCCTGTCCAACGAGTTTAGGATTATTGTTTCAACTATGAAACACACACACACACATTTTGTGAGTTTATTTTAACCCTTTCGCTTAAATATCTTTCGAATGAAATGTGATTAGTTTGAATGGAACGTATCACTCACGGAATTGATACATGATTGAATATTTCTGTATCTAGGATTTGTTTAAAATCTATAATTATTAGAAATAACACAATTTTTATAAATATATATTTCTAAAAATATTAGATTTCGTTGTACGAAATAATTGTGAAAATAATCAATATATTCATTTGTAATTATTATTTTTTTCCGTGAACTAGCCATTATTCGGTCATGCGAACATTCTCAAATAAACCTTATCAAATCGATAGACAATTATTTATCCTCTTAGGGCACAGGTATAATTATTTTTCAATTCTAAATATATATTGAATATTATTTTTAAATAAGCACGAAATTTTCGGAAAAAAACAATATTTGATCTATCCAACGAATACCGAATACCAAAAATACTTTATTTATATCAATGTTAAATATTTTTCCGCGATCAATAATTATTGGAAGCGAAAGGACAAATATTTTATTTTTATTGAAATGTTAACAAAAAAAAAAAATAAAAAGAAATAAAAAATGTGGAATATCGTTGAAAATGTTGACTTAATTTATCGTGTTTGATTTCTATTTAGTTATACGTCGTGGTAATAGCAATGTGCGAGGCAGCTAGGATACCACGTCAATTGGAGTACGAACATTTCCCAAATTTTCGAACGATTTATCATGGACACGGTGCAACCAGCTATCAAAATGTACACGTCAATAATAATTACGGAGGCGTTTCTCATTCCTCGAATTACGCGGATGAAGCGTTGAATGATTTCGGTTTGACGGTGCATCATGACACGGATATCGTGCCAATTTTAGGACGTGTCAAAGAATTAGAACACGTTGATCAATCAAATGCAGGTAAATAATATGCTTTAAGCTTTCATCATTAATTGAAATTGTAACGTGTATAAATATATCAATTATGTGTACTTTTAGAAATATCTACTTTTAACGGATTCGTACCAACCTATCATAATCTAGAAACGGAAGATCATCCATATTTTGATGAACATTATGAAAATCATTTCGATCATGATCTCAGACATCACATATAACAACTTGTACATAGCAAACAAATATTTTTAATAAACGTTGATAATAAACGATTTACCATACTTAACTATTAATCTCTTTATTTTGTCTTATCTATATATATATTTATATATATATAAATTTTTTATATTTTATTTTGTATTTTTTAATTCTCGTTATACACATACGTACATATATGTGTCGTTGTATGTACTCCAAGTACTGTACACAAATTTTCAACATAAGTACGCATATATGTACGTATAAATTAGTATAACAACTTACGTGTAAATAACATTATTAATTATTATTATTAATATTATTATTATTATTATTATTATTATTATTTTTATTATTATTATTATTATTATTATTATTATTATTATTANTTATTATTATTATTATTATTATTATTATTATTATTATGAAAACAACGATGTGGTATTTGTAATGTTTTGTTTTATACTAGGCTTCGATTTAAAGCTATTTACAGTGATATATTTGGCTCGCGAATTTTTATCTTTGTATTTATTTTTTTTCTTTGTTAAACCACTTTGGACCATTCGGCGAGATAAATTTTTCTTAAAAAGATGAACGGATAATCAAAGTGGTATAATATATGTATATATATTTATTTATTTAATAATTATACGCGTTCAGTCCGAAGAAATTACTCCAAGGAGCTGTTATTTAATACTCTAAATAATTCTAGCCGACACAATATTTAAATCGACTATTTAATTCCTCGTTTCAATTTTATACTCTCAAGATATTATCATCGTATTGTTTAATGGTCGTGAAATCATCACAGTTAAACACTGTAATTAGGCATAAATAGATACGTTCATTTATGTGAAAAAAATGTATTCGCATAAATGCACGTTCAATAGAATCCGACGATCAAAAAATATCTGGTTCAATAAATTCAATGGTGTGTTAATTCGAACGGCCTTGTTGTTGCATCACGTTGCTATAATATTAACGCATCATTATACGTTACGCTATGTATATATATATATATATATATATATATGTATATAATATATTATATAATATTAATATATAATATAATTTATATACTCTTTTTTAATTTTTTAATTATTATATTAAATCGTGTTATTGTATTTTTTCCATGTACATTATATTGTACCATGAGATATATAAAATACTAATACATAAACGTACCTATACATACATATATATATGTATAACCATGTCTATGTAAAAAATATTTTATAATTATTATTATTACCATTATAGGAGAACTTGACTAGATCACTTTAGTTTTATTGACTCTCTTATTATCCTAAATAGTTTTGCTCTCGCAGCGACGGACAGTGCGGAGGTGTATATATATATATATATACTGCTTTTTTTATCTTTCTTTCTGTCACATTTTTTTGTTTTGTTTGCATTTTTCTTTCCTTTTTTTTTATAAAAAAATATTCAGAACAATTAACTAGGTACATTAGGTTTTGATTAACTTGTCCATATCGTATCCCCCAACGTTCTTGTAGCTACGAAATGAACGATGAGTGATTCGAGAACGACAACTAATTATGCTTGATCCCAATTCCAATTATAATTACTGATACAGCGTGTATCCGATATAGTTAAGAATTTCTAAAAGAATACTCGTCCCTTATGGACGATCACGTGACTTGGAACTATTACTTGATACAACATCGAAATCAAATCACGCGTAAAATTCTGTCTTCGGTCCCAATTCGTATTCCATTTCTTCGTTCTTGTATACATCCATTATCTAAACAGAAATACAAAACCGCATTTTGATATGATAAAACTAAACTCAATGTTAAATCAGCAGGCGATTGCTGTTGATCTCACAAAAGATAGTAAAATTGTCGATAAAAATATGATTATCGTAATCTCAACACTATATACCTCGTCCCTTACCGCATTCATATCTTTCTGTAGTTCCTCCATTTGTTTCTCGTGTATGACCTTGAGCTTCTCCTTCTCCCTGTTCTGTATCATCTGTGCAATCTTTCGTTCCTCCATGAATTTCTTCGTATTGTTTTGCTGTTTCTCCCTAAGCCTACCCTCTTTGATACCACGTGTCTTCAAGGTCTTATCGTTCATCACCTCTCGCATACTCTCTACAGATAACTTCGCCTGTCTGGCATTCATCTCTTTGATTTCCCGTTCGTGTCTCGCTGTCAACTGTTTCTGTTGTGCTCCCTGTGCTGCCATACATAATTTCCTTAATTGGATTCGACGTTCCTCGAAATGAACTCGTACAAGATCACGTTCCTCACGACGTTGTCTATCTGCCAGACGAGACCATTGACCTGTCTGTTCGTTCACTGCTTGTCGTACTATCGGATCACTCGATAATTCTGATTTACTGGAACAACATAAAGGTAGAGTTTAGTTTAACTTGAATAATTCGGTTTTGTTAAATAAGACATATCAAACACATGCGGTTAATAATCGTTGTTTTCGATATATGATTTTACGTAAACGTAATTGCAAATTTTAATAATTAAAAATCAACCTAATATGATTCTTTCTAGTAAAAAAAGTTTATACATACTAGTTTTGGCTCAACTATTATATTTAATTGCTTAAAACCTTCGATTGCACTTTTTATACTTCATGTTGAAAAAACAAACTTCATTTATGTCATTAAATGACATTAAATAAAAAATTACTGTTGTATTACTGGAGTCTTATAACAGAAAAATTTTTCCAACAAAAAAACTCTAGAACTTAAAAAGTTAAATACAAATTACAAACTTACTTCTTCCCTTTGATGATTTTTTCTATTGCAACGCAGTGCTGCTTTTGTAAAGACACCTTTTCTTTCTGATGCCTCTTCTTCAAAGATTCCAAATCCTTTTGATGTTTTCTTAAAATCTTTTGATAACCCTTCTCTAATTTCAATGATTCCACAGTTATCGGATCGAATTTAATTTCCTCTGTTAAAAAAAAAAAACAATTCAAGTAAATAAACAAGTAAACAAGTAAAGGTTTAAAAAGAAAAATTATTTTTGAGATTAACCTCTAGGTTTTGCAGCTTCTTGATGCTTAGAGGGCATAGAATTGGAACTACTTTTACTGTCACTCTCTTCAATTCCAAGTCCACGCATTTTATTTTGCGACATACTCTCAGTTTTTTTGAAAGCACGAGGTGCGGTTAAGGCGTCCATAAATTCTTTGACAAAAAAAAAGAGAAATAAAAAAAAATCCCGTTATAACTTCTCGATATATAAGAAATAAAATTCATTATTTATTATATTATTTGATCATACCTTGGAAACCATCCGGTACGTAGATCTTTATTTCTATATTGCAAAAGAGCATAGGAAGGGACATAGGAAAGTTTGCTTCAGTACGTAGAGATATATGACGATAGCCAGATTGCAAACCGTCTAAAGGAACTATTCTTTGGCCAAGAAGTTTTCCGTTTGATTCGTCATAAACAGCGAATCTAAGAGCAGCCAAATCCGGTAAGACGACTTTTCTAAAGAGGAATGGCTCTTCGTTGTACACCGGATTAAGGCCATTCGCTGGTACAACTCTCGTACGGAATTCTTTTCTTATTGTGTCAGTTGGTAGACCATACATTTCAACTTCAACGTATGTACCAACCTTTTTGTCCGAAAGGAACTGGCCCGCTATTACCTAACAAAAAGATTTCAATAATACATAAGCGTTATATGTTACTGAATAATTATTGATATATTTTACCTGTACGCTACATTGTATAGCGATTACTCCATCAACTGGACTTTCAGCAAACGGATCGAAACTTCTATCAGCACGTCTCATGAAATCCGGTTTGAGGAGATACCCTGAGGATCCATTATATTCGAACTTGCCCTGGTTTAGTTGCATTGGCAAATCCGCTGTTTGAAAGTTCAGTGACACCATTTGACAACCGGCGTTCCAGAAGACCTAGTTTTGAACAATCGATCGAACGAATATGACTAGTCGAACGAATACTTTACCGTTCTTACGAGAAATGCATTTTCGTCCACCAACATTACCTGTGGCATATAATTTGAGGAATCCGCTCGAGTACCTTTCGGATATATTCGGCTCATTTGACGTTTATTATAATTAACAAATTCGATGGCTGATGTCTTCAAATAATTCAGTCCAGCCGTTTCCGCAAAGGAAGACATGTTATGGTGTATGTTCTTTTCTATAGGAACAAATATATATATTCATGAATTTATCATTTCAAATTCGCTATGATATTTGAGTTGCAGAGATGTGTGAAAAATCTCGTAAATGGTAGTACAAGACTATAGACATATTCAATCTAACTAAATCCAACTGTTGTTGGTGTTTTCGTATATCCCTGCAAGATAATAATTCACAAAATCAAAACATACGTTCGGCAACGTCAAAACCCGGAAATTTGATAGGCTGAGCGTAATTGACCATGGAAGAAAGCCACGGATGAACGTTCGTTGTACTTCCGGTATATGGTTGAGCTACAGCAAGTTCCAAACTTTCGCCAAGACCAGTTGGACCACTGCCAGATTGTTGTTGCGGAACACCGGTAGTAGATGACGTAAGGGAATCAGTCGAAGTTTCATCCTGAAGATCAAGGCGGAAGCGTTCTTATTCTCGACGTTCGAGTATCCCCATTGACCAAGGTCAACTATCGATTGTCTTATCATTTAATCAAAAAAATATGTACTTACCTTCGAAGGTTGCTGTTCAACGACAGCAGCTACGACAGGTGGCGCACTTGCATCTTCTTTAACCTCATCTTCGATAACAAACTGCCCTTGCTTGAATAGTTCGAGTTCTTGTTTTTCAACTTCGGGCTTCAGTCGTTTATTTTTAATCAAAATCTTTCGTTTCAGTAAGTTAGGTGAAGGCAATGGTACACCTGGTTCCAGCTGTTTTACGATATATAGACGTAATGATTATTATTATTATTATTATAGCGTTTACTAGGTGATTTTTAAAATTGTTAAGAATTATTGATCAATTGAGTTATAATGAACGATGTTTTGACTTGTCATTCACTTTTAATTATATTTTATACTTACAGGGAAATCCTTGATGGGTTCTCTTAATAATAGATCTCCTAGAATCTCGTCACAATACTTTGCTAATTTGTATTGTTGTTTTTTACTACAGTGGTTCTCGAAACTTAGTATCACTGGATACTCAGATGTTACAAAGGCGGTATCTCTGACGGCATAAATGACGTCTTTGAAAAGTATATCAGTACACATTGCTTTACCATGCGTTATTATTGGTTCCTCGTCTTCACCTTTACCGTCCCAGCAATCCAGCTCAACACATCTTTTATTGGAAACAAATAGATTGTTATCTAAACTAACAAATTGATTATTATTTATAATAACATGTAACATGTGATATTATTCACCTGCAACCTGCAAGCAAAACTTGTCTGTACATCTCAACGCTACTTTTTCCACCAAACTGACGACCACTCAGATACGTGTTATGGCTCGAATTGATATAGTAATGCGCCAATGGTTGGTCCATGTCCATATAAACGTCTAATCTGTCTAAGAAAACTGGTGCATTCTCATCCGACATCAAGTATCTTATAAAGCCGTCCTTCGTCATCGTTTCTGAAAGGACGTGATTGTTTCTGAAAGGATGCCGTTTCGAAAGTATAAACTAATTCGAAATATAGTAATGAATGATGATTAGATATTTTAGGAAATATATTCGATATTATTCGAAATATATTTAATATAGTGAATGAAGATTAAAATATATTCTAGCAAAAATTTCTAAAAGAAAATACAAGGAGAGAGAAATAAAGAAAGATAGAAAACTATTAATATTGTATTTTATGATGAAAATTTTGTAGGAACATGTTCTTTGTTCAGCTTACTTTGATTTCGGGCAGTTTCATTCTGCTCGTAATCGTAGATAATTTCTAAGGCTCGTTTCTCGTCGTATAGTGGATAAAGAATTTCGTTTAATGTTGGATCACGTTGTTTTTCGTTGAGAAAGGTAATCAACTGTTCGAGGTTTATCGTATCCGCCTTTCCTTGTGTTCTGGAATTTTCCGAATAAATAACCGTTAGATCTAATTTTATTCCTATAGTCTTTTACTCGATTATTTGGATTACACAACGCAGTAAATATCGTTATAGTGAAATGATTCAGTTTTCCGTAGCGGAGACTTTCTTACTTACATAGATTGGAAGAGCTCTTCTATGTCATTCCTTGGACATATTTTATGATAAAGAGCGTAAAATGCATCGAAAGTAAAATCTTCCGGTTCTATAACGTCATTCTGCAAGGTAAATGGAAGACGCTTTATTGTGGTTATAAATTAATATATTAAATCCATCTACTTTATCTTCATCACATTTCATATTTTAATACTTTTATATAAAATGGAAAATTTAATACTCTAGATATGTTAAACGTACATTATCAAAAAGGAATAAAAAAGTATTTAAATAGACAAAATTTTCCTTTAACATTTTTATGCATATTTAAAATAACTATAACTTTCATTAAAATTTAGTATATTTTTTTGTTGGTATAAAGTATATCTTCTAGCATAAAATTTAATTTAATTTTAATCGATTATATGTGGGTGTAGAATATAAATAATAAGCTTTGAATGATTAAAAATTTATTTTAGCTTAACAGGAACCATTATGCACTTTTAATTTTTTTATTTTCCTCTAAAAGAATTTAACTTTTACACAGTTCGCATTATTTCACCTATTATAAGCTTTTGAATAAAAACTGAAAATATTATTAATATTTAACTAGTGTACAATATAAATTAATGCTTTTGAAAGTTAAAAATAATTGCAAATTACAAACAGGCTTTTATGCGTTTCCCATTTCTCTTTAATGTTATTCTACAGAAATTTAATTTCTATAGACCATAATATATTTTATATTGCGGACATATGATATTGAAAAAGAAAGAGATATATAAAAATTAAATAAAATGCTTGGCACACGATTAAAAATTATTTAATGGCGAAACGAACTTTTATGCGTTCCAAACTACTTTGTTATTTTATGGTATACAAATTACTTTTTTAAAGCCCACACTACCCAACATTACTAATTATAATTTTTAAACCAAACAAGTATATTATATTTTATCAAAAAATTAAAGAAATACATCTTAACTCCTGAAAGATTTAAAAAAATATTTCTCAGTTGATACTTTTATCAACACTTCTCTTTTAAGAGTTGATAGATCTTTTAAGAATGATTAGGAAAATATCAATACCTTTCCACTCGGGAGATTCAAGTCAGACAGACACTGATAAACGAGCTTTTCAGTTTTCCCAGACGCGAAAGTCCTCGCAACCACTCTCACTGGCACTTTTCCATTTGGATCCACCAACATTCTCAATCGCATCCAACTAAAACAAATTGAGAAAAGGTTCCTTCGTATTTTCATTCCTTTTTCTCAAAGAAAGTAAATGAGAAAAAGAACTGCTATGTAAAATCATCGAAATATCAAACAATCCTCGTTAATTTAAATCGAAATTTATCGAAGTGGAAATTTCATTTAACAACTAAAGACAAAGTGTTATACTCAGTGGAATGAATATTAACATAAAAGAAGAAAATTAGTCTGAAAAAATATTAAATATTTTTATCCTGGAGAATTCATTTATCGCACGTAAATAAATCCTGACGTAATATCGCGAAAAAATTTTAATAAAACACTCAAAAAAAAAAAACCCTGACACAAAACTTGATGTGCTTTTTATCACACCCAACTAAAGCATATTTTATAGATTGACCAAAACCCTTTGGGCATTCTATAAAGTGACCAGGTAGTAATACATTGACCGTAACATATATATAAAAAAGAAACTCGAAGTATGTCGACTTTTTCTTTCTGCGTAAAAGCATCGAGACTAATTGTTTCTGATGACGCAAAGAACGAAGAAGCTACCTTTGTTTACGCTCTATCACGCGTATATGAACACCTTTTAAACCGAATGCAATTTTATCATGAACAAACTTACTGTTTCTTCAAGCATGTTAGTGGACAAAAGTTGTTGCCTTTCACGTTGTGTGTAATCGATCGTACACCATCCAACCATACCTAAATAAACAACACGTAAATCTTACATCAGACGAATCAATTAAATATTTTTTTATCATTCATTTCATTTTTTTTTCTCATTTATCTATTAATTTGTATTATTAAATCGTACGAAATGATTGCGAAAAATTAATGAAACGGAATAATTTATTGGCACTTTATCGTATCGCCTACACGAAAGATACGAAAATAAAAAAAAATAACGATTTACAAGTTTATTTAATTATCGATAAAAAAAAAAAAGAAAAAAGAACAAAAAATTAAAAATGAAATGAAATTTATTAGATAAATTTTGCAAAAGTTTGATTAACGAGTAAAATATTGAAAAATAATTTCGTATATAATATATAATATAAGGAAAAAAAGAATAGTATATAAAGTATAATTGAAAGTAAGAAATTTTTGCATAAAAAGGATGTCACGTGCCATGATAATACGCGTTTTAAAATGTCTCTTACATTATGCTAGATAAAAAAAGAACCTAACGAGCTCGTGGCACATTCTGTTACTGTTATCGTAATCAGCGTTACCTTGGCGGTCTTAGCATCCGGACAAACGACGTGCTGGTAATTGATGTTGGTATAATCGACGCCTGAACAGATGGTCAAACTTTTTTCATCTAGCTGTTCGCTATGTTTGGCAACTAACTTATCATACAGCTTTGGATCCTTTAACAAGAAATACATACAGTTATCTACACTTACTTTTTTTACGTACTTATAATCCTTCTGTCAATATTGCATGGAATAATATAAAAGAGAGAGAGAGAGAGAGAGAGAGAGAGAGAGAGAGAGAGAAAGACAGAGAGAAAAAAAATGTATAAAGATAAAATATATTTTTACATTCGCGTTAATTAAACTTCAACAAGAAATGTCGGTAAAAAAATCATTTATTTTCTTCTCGTACCAACGATATCAAAAATATATTTTAAATGAATTGTACGAGGAAAAATCCTTTTTTGTTTTATCTCTTTTCTATTATTTTATTTTTTTATAAATTTATTTAATATAATATTTTCTTTTTTTTCGATCAACATAATGTAAAGATAGGAAGTAAAAACAAAAAAAAAGGAAACAATTGTTTTTTATTATTTATTCGAATTACCTTTGGCACACCACCAGCACGAATATCGCTCACTTGACACAGTTCTAACACATCACCGTCCTGAAGAGGAAAAAAATATGAAGAAAAATCATACTCTCGAACGAGATATATAAAATATTATATATTTGAGAATAAGAAAATATTTTAACAAAGTTTGTGTAAGATGTTAAATAAATGAAGATGATAAAGAAAAAGAAAAAGAAGAAGAAGCAGAAGAAAAAAAAGAAAATAAAAAAAATAAAAAAGGGAAGAGAAATTTATTAAAAAGGAATACGTCACCTTTCCTTCGCTCTGCCAATAAATGAAAAAACCGTACTCGTCGGCCTTGAACATACAGTTCATCTCAAGCTCTGTATTGTCCTTCTCTTCAGACCATCGATCGAAGACGCATCCATTACGAAGTGCTTCCGGCACTTCGATCTGCCAGTTGAATTCAAATCTCTTCGTCATCTTCGTGATCCTCTCTGTTCAAGTTTTAGAGATCGGATCTTGTTTTTCTTCCTTCAAAATAGATTCTAACGAAAGATCGAACAAGATCCTGTTAAATCTTTCATTCATCATATCGTTTATCTTGAATAATTTTTCTTTTTTTCTTTTTTTTTCTATTTTTCTTTTTTTTTTTTGCTTGCTTCGAAGAATATCCAGCGAACAATTTTTTTTTTCTCCCGATCATTATTTCCGCTTCTAATATATTTTTTAAATATTGTATATTTGAGAGAAGAATCGTGATGATGATCGTTAGAAGAAAAAAAAGTTTTAATAATGTTCTCAACTAGTTAACGAATAATGTTTGTATAATTTTAAATTTAATTAAAAATTTATTTATATCCGAGTATTATTGTATTCGTTAAATAAATATTGAATATTTTAGAAAACAAATTACTATAATATTTGATTAACTTCGAAAACACTGTTTAATATTTTCCATATGAATAAAACAATCCATTATTAATGTTTAAATTAACAATTCCGAACATAACTCATTAACCAATCAAACATAAACTTAATTTCAAAGATCTTACATAATTATACGCTGAAGAGAATCACGTTACTATGTTTCTTACCGCGCTTTCTAAAATGCATTAGACGACATGTGTAAGGTATAGCAATCGATTGAGGACCCTAATAGATATTCACGTATACGTATGTCATCCCTTAATGGTATATTTTATGAAACTCAATCAGACATTAACCTCTTTAAAATCTCGTAGAAGAAGAAAAAAAGAAAAAAAGAAAAGAAAAAGGAAAAAATCCACTATAAAATTCCCCAATCAATTTCAACTTCATCATCAATCGTATAACTTTTTCATCTTATTTTTTTTAATCCTCATCCTCACGATCATTTTTAATTTTTCATCGTGATAAATAAAATACACGAATAAAAATGTACGAGTAGTTATTCGCAAAAATATATATATATTTGTTGTTCTTTTGTCATTTACAAGGACAAGAATAAAACGTATGAAAGATTGTTAATATTCTAAGAGGTACGGTTCGCTTAAGTTATTCTTTTATGCGAGGTCATCGTCGTAGCTGACCTCTCCGACTTTACAAGTTCTACACGAATGAAAATCTTTTATTCTTATTCATATATTTCGAAATGACGAGAACACCAAAACTCTTAGAAATTGAATCGTATAAAATCACATATATATGTACATGAATGGACATACACTTATACAAGCAATATGTAATTGTAAGATCATTCACCAATATAATTCGAAGATTCGCAACACGTGTGTTTCCTCTTTTCAGTGAAATTTCTGACACTGATATAAAGCTCTCATACGAAATAGAATTAGACCGAGCGGAAAGATTTCCAGCCTTCAAAGCGATTCGATGTTGATAACGGTCTAGAAACCAAGTGAAAGAGAGAGAGAGAGAGAGAGAGAGAGAGAGGAAGAGAGATAACATCTGCATAGGATGTTATTATTTTAGGTGATACATGACACACCGAGTTGCCTGTTACGTCAAAGCATATGCTATTTTTTTTTCACTAGCACCATTGCATCGATTGACCTTTAAACTAGCTTCATGCATAAACCAGAACTAACGAAAGTAAATGCCAATTGTTAGGTTAGTTTTGATGTTCGATCGTTTTATCTTGTTTATTATTTTTATCGATTTTATATATTAATATAAAATTCAGATAACTTATATTAGAAAAATTATGATTAATCAAATTACCGTGTATGTTAGCCATACTATCATATCCATATTATCTGAATGACCTATACCAGAGCTTCATGCACAAAGTGTAAAAACAAAATGGCATCTATGAATGCTAGGACATTGTTCGAATATATTATCTAATTTTTTTCTTTTTTTGTTTCGATATGTAACTGAATAGCAAGAGTAATAAATTATGATAAGTTTTATTAAAAAACTAATGACAGATATCATGTTAATGCATGATAATCCTTCACACATCAGAATAACCTTTATCAATCTAATGCACAATATGAAAAATAGTAAATGGCAGCTGCAAGTAAAACTATAATACAATTCTTCGACAAAAAGTTTGTTTTATTCAGATAAATAAAAGATCCACATTAAATAACTTTTATAAATAATGAAATTAATTTGTGAACGTTGTCGAAAATAATATGATGAAATCTTAAAAAAATATAATAAATAATAATATCTAATTATTATTTCGAATGATTAATTTAATTGAATTTAAACATTTTAAAAAGGAAGAATGGAAAAAAAACTTACAAAAAGAAATGTGTAGATTTGTCGATTGAAAAGCTCGCAAGGTGTCAAATTGTAGAAGAGCAAGTCGTTTAAATTTTAGCACTCAATTTAACAAAGTATAGTAATGAAAAAGAAAAAGAAGAAAAAGAAAGAGAAAAAGAGGGGAGATCGTTTCTAGTTTATGTGGCACTTTTATCTCAGGGGTGCATAAAAGAATCTTAGGGAGCGAAGCTTATGAAAGAGAGCTAAGCAAACTTACGACGTTAAGAGCGTCTCTTCCGGGCCGGGTTGCTCATTTTATTTTCCCTTGGTACCTACGATACGAAAGATCGAATATAAACTTAATGCACTTTACACACATACATGCACACACATATACACGAACATACATTGGACATTTATACAGAAAAGAAAAGATTAAAACCTCAAGGTCTTCTATCTTTCTCTTTTACATCGTACACAAATTTTATACATTAACACACACACACACATATATATATACACATCTATAAATAATATCTTTAGTAATTTCACTTTATTTTCCATATTCTATTAAACTTTCAATCGTAAATGATTATTTGACAGTTATAGTCAAATTGTTTATGCAAAAATATTTTCCATAGTTTGTATAAACATTAGCGTTCAATAAAATCAACCATTCGAGAAAAGCGCAACTCATATGATCTTTGATTCATGTATTTATTATATATGTATAGGTATAGTATATATGTGTATTTATATATTATGCTTGTATATGTATATGCAACTACGTAGGATCGATTTCAAAAGCGTTTGAACGATATATCTAATACTTACATATCTAACCGTATGAAAAATGGCATGAATCAACGTTACTTTCTATAATTAAAGTGGGAACGAATATGTTTCGTGATGAAAATACGATCAAGATATCTAATGAGTAACGTGTGTTATACGATTAACACGTCTCTACGCATCTGTCAACTATCATCATTTATTTGTTCGTTCATTCGTTTGACGAATTATTCGATAAGGGAAAGAAATAAAAAATAGTAATGAGTTTTTCTACAAATTTGTATTAATTTAATAAATATATATATATATATATATTTATTTTATATTTTTGATGGAATTTTTAAGGCAACAAATTTAATACAAATTTTGAGAGAAAAATGTATTAAAAAAATTAATTCCCTGTATCCAAAAAGAAATATAATTTTTGTCGTAAATTTTCAAATCATTGGAACTATGTTTCTTAAGTTTTCTTCGAAATTAAGGTCTATTAAAAGATCGGCACACAAGACACTAACTTATGCGAATTAGTCTTTATAACTTGGTTGCTTCGTGATCGTTAAACAGGTTATCGATGCATACGCTTATCGTACACGGACATCCCGAATTCTTATCTCGCATGTCTTATCTTAATTAGCGTACTAGAAAAACATACGCATATGTAGGTACATGTATATAAATCTAGATATGAATTAGAGTACTTACATATACATAAACATATAACTATCTATGTTTTCCAAGCAAACTTTTATTCGATTTAACTTAAACTCGTTTGTCAAATACAAATTGTTGAACAAACAATGATAATTATAACGACTTATATACAGTTCTCCTATCTTTTACATATTCTATGTCTGTTATATCCAATTGGAATTGATTGGTATATATTTAGAAACCGATCGATGTTACATACATAGACACGTCCTTATATTTGTATTTCTGTCATCCTTTCTAACTAATTTATTTAGAAAAATTTGCTTACAAATTCATTAATTACACGTTGACTGTCATACAAATGTAATACGTTTTTTTTTTGTAGTAACAATGATCCTGATATAAATAAAATTGGTGGTCTTTTTTAGAAAAAGGAAAAAAATGGTAACGGAAATCTCTTTTTATCAAACTTTTTATAGAAAATTATATTCCAATACTTTATAAATGAAATTTAAAGCTGCTTTTTCTAAAAAAAAAAAAAAGAAACTTCGAAATATTTTTATTATAGACACGATTAAATCTGAACAATATATTTTCGCATTTGCTTATTTTATTCTTATTCATTTCTTTTTTTTTTTTTAACGTTTCTTATTCACTTTTGAAATATAAAAAATACCGTTAAAAATAAAGGTACCGAAACGTTGTTCCAGTGCAGTAAACCATACAAAAAGGTACAGTACGGTTTACAGGTAACCCACATGATTTCATTGAAAGAACAAACATCAATCACAGATGACAAATGTGACAGTAAACGTGTTAATAAAATTTATTTAAAAATACTTATATCGTTAAACTTTTGTTATAATATAAATCTAACAATAATAATATTAACTATTACATATTCAATTGAAATTACAGACGATGCAAACAAAAAGTAAGTGGTTCTTGTCGTTTCATATTTTCCTTTTTTTCCTTTTTTCTTTTTCTTTTTTCATAAGAAAAAAGAGGAAGAAAATGATTATATTCGTAAACGCTTTTATGCTCGTAGAAAATATTCCTTGTTATTTTCCTCTCATAAGAACGCCTCTTCCTTTCGGCTATTAATCTTTATCAAAAGGAACTACTATTACGTCGACGGTAGCCAGAGGCATTTATCAAATGATCTTCTTCGAAAGGTTTTAAGAAAGAATAAGAAGAAAGAACACGATAATAAAAGACAAAAATATTACCGTTCACCGTAAATATGCTCTCAAATATGATGTTTCAATATGAATAACATCTTTCTAATGGCTTACGTTATCAACGTGATATTATATTATTTCATCTTAATTTGAAAAAAACAAGTTACACTTGCGTTTAATTTCTTTATCAATACATTTGTTTTCAAACTTTCTAAAAATAATCTAACATTAATTTAGGCTGTCATGTTTTTATCATATAGAAAGGAATGTCATGCATTTACGATAAGAAATATGGAGAAATGTGAAAATATGTGAGATTCAACGTATAAAAATATTAAATATATTTATGTAAAAATATATTTAATTAATATATTTGTTAATTTTTAAAAAGAAAAAGTACACACACGGATATACTTTTATATTATCCATACGCGTTTGTTTAATATCTCATCCAAAAATGAACATATTATTTTTATTTAAAAACAAATATAATAAATCTGTATATAAATATGGAAGAAGAAAATTTTATCTACAATATTTTTTTGATATTATTTCCGAATAAAGAGAAAATTTCACAACCCGTCAGTATGCATTCCACTGACGTATAAATATACTCGAATACCTTTACGTGTTTGTTTAATATTAAAGCCAAGAATAATATTTGCAATATTTATTTCACGCCTATCGTGTGACTGATGTCACACTTTCCACTAGATTTTCGGCCGAAACTATTTCATGTACATCAATAAAGAATGATCGAAAACAGCTGATTCTACGTTAAATCTATGATCATAATATCTTATAGTTCGTGCCATGGCACGATCTTACATCTTTCAAACCAAAACCTTGTATACACAAAAAGTGTAAACAGATGAGCAGTAGCGCGTTTTATGAAAATAATGTATTCACGTTACGTGTCTCGTGCTAGCTTCATGCTTTCGATTTTATCTCTTCATTGCTCAACAAATAATAATGATTCTTGGCAAATTTTCACAAAACCAACGAATTATTCCCACGGTCGTATTACCCAAGCGTCAAAATGGCAGAATTCTAGTGCCATTTTTAAAATTCAAGCGCCTGGAATTAATTATTCACACGTGGAAGGACACGTTGTCCTAGAAAATGTGAATTTTTTTTTTAGTAATTTTAATTAAAAATGACAAAAAAAAACAAAGAAGAAAGTAAATTCTAACCGGAAAGAATTTTCATACTCGCACGAAGTATTTCTTTAGTATTCTATTTTCTACTTAAACCACTATTGTTGCTTTTAAATTGCCAACTCTTTTTGTTTTACTCCTTCTTGACCCGTTTAGAAAAAAGAAAAAAAAAAAGAAATAAAAAGTAAAAACTCACACTCGAGAGAATTTAATCTTTTTCCATGAAATGGAATTCTTATATAATTTTAAAATTATTTACCCTACGAATATGTTAAATATAAAAAAAAATTTCCTAAAATTCGTTCTTGCTTCGGGCAGAAAAGATTAAATAAATTTTAATATAAATTTCATTAAATGTGCAAATGTTTTCCTTTCTACTTGCTATGCACAATAAACATAACGTATCTTTTACCGTAGAAAAAATAAATTAATTATAATAATAATAATAAGAATATAACACGCGCGAAGGATGAAAAAATTTGTTTATTTTAAAATTTTTTTAAGATAAAAATAATGTTTTATAGGTAAACGTTTAGTTTGCTTGTTTCAAACGAATGAGTTAGCGCTTTAGAATCGTCAATCAATAATTATGTAACTTCCCGTAAGCTTGCTACGAAGGAAGAACGTAACGTAACACGTTTGACGCGACATTGACCGCTCAATTACTTAATACCTTTAATGGCCACTTAGCAAAGAATGGAGAAGAAACGAGGGTTGTTACCCGCTGTGCTTTCATCACGAGTAGATCAAAAGCTTTAACCTATGTACGCTAAGCTTCCGACGTTATACTAGTTTTTCTTTTTTCATTCATTTCTTTTTTCTCGTGAAGGTCGACAGATCGTTCGTTTGATCGTTTAAATAATAAAATTCCGAACATGATTCATCCAGTTTAATATCTTCCTATTTAAAAATTGCACATTAAGTAAGGAAAATTAATTAGAAAATTATTTTTTTTTAATAAAAAAAAAAAGAAACGAAACGAACTAGACGCGTCTCAATTATTAGAATTTTTTTCCGCGAAACATTAATAAGCGAATGATCATCATTATTAATAAAATAATAATAACAATATTATTATAATTACAGTTGTTATGTTGTTACGTACCAACGTAGTAACATTGTACAACATTTACTGATAGTAACATCTAACATGCAACGTCTAACTTTCTGATTAATTTAGTATCGTACCATTAATTGATAAACTAATTTATTTAAGTAATTAAATTCCAGGAATTTTCGTCTCATGCAAATACCGCTCTAATCCTCCACTTTCCTAAAATACAGAAAATTGCTTTTCCATTTTATCCGAGTAACAAAAGTTGTTAAGACTCGCACAAAGAAGGAAAGGAAAATAGAAAAGATCCAAGTTAATGTTCTTAAGTTCTGTAATAACAACCTTTCGAGATACCACCTACGGTTCACTTATCTTTCTCGTTAAGGCGAATTTATCTTCGCTTCTCTGATCACATAAATAAAAGGAATCGAAAGAAAAATTGCATGGATGGGCGGACACCTTAAGAGCGAATGAGAAAAGTTTCACTTTCTATAAAA